CCTTTCTTTTCTTTATCGAAGTGCTTACTCTGAAGGCTTCTACTTCAGATTCCTGCCCCCAGTGCCCTTGGCCTGTTCATTATTTAATTTTGCTTTCAGTCCCCTGCCTGTCAATGTCTGCGCCCTGTGATTGTTTTCATTTTTTAAAGTCTCCAAACAAAGATCACAGCCTTGTAGATACGCTTTTAAAATATTATAATGATTTCTGGTGTGCACACACATGTGTGTGCACACAGACATAAATTAGTTAGAAAAATGTGCTTTGGATCCACCTAGGTTCTCTGAAGCACAGAATTTGACTGATAAAAGGGCTTTATGCACTGCCCCCTGGCCCTGCTGACAACACTACCCCTAATGCCTGTCGTCCTGCTTTGTAAGTTGCTGAGATGGGTATTTTTCTCTAGTCAGTCAAACAAATACATAAAGTAACTTCTAGAGTTCTTTGTCATTGTACTAAGCTGGCTGAAGGCATTTTAGAGATCCAATCTAATTGAGGGGCATGCATTAACATGGAAGGAAGCAACACTATCTGATAGCAACTGACATAGGTCTAGTCATGCAGTAAAGCATTCAAAATAATCCAGAGAAAGGATAACAGATCGAGCTTTTGGGGATGAGTGATATCTGGAGTCAGGAAAGTTCTTCTGATTTTTCTTTTTGACCCCTAAATATCAGATGTGTTCAACATTATTATGGACTGAGTTCTATTCGCCCAAAAAGTGTATGTTGAATCCCTAACCCCCAGTGTCTCAGAATGTGACTGCATTTTGAGACAGGATCTTTAAAGAGGTAATTAAGTTAAAATGAGTTCACTGGGATGAGCCCTAATCTGATCTCTGGTGTCCTTGTAAGAAGAGATTTGGACAGACCTGCAAGGAGGGAAAGGTATGTGTGGCACAGGGAGCAGAAGGCCATCCTCAAGCTAAAAAGAGTGGTCTTAGAAGAAGCCAACCCTGGCAGCATTTTGAGTTGGGACTTGCAGCCTCTGGAACTATGAGAGAAGAAACTCCTGTTGTTTAAGCACCCACTGTGTGGTACCTTGTTATGGAAGCCCTGGCAAAATAATGCAAACATTGGTATTTCAAGACGGTGTTAGTTCTAGATGAAAAATGAAATTAATCACAGAGCAATTTCCGGGCAGGAAGTGGCTTTTCTGCCCCTGTTTGGGTTTCCAGACACTTAATTCTTATTTGTGAACACATAGTAGATATTCAGCATGTGTTTATTGGGCACTTCCTTCATGCCACACACTGCACTAGGCCAAGGAACAGAGATTCAGAAGCCTATGGCTGTATCTGGAGTCTAGATGAGTTGAGCTTCTCAAACTGGCAGTAGATGCATGCTGATGACGGTCCCCAAGGTAATCTTCCTAGGACCTAATGGCCACATTGTAATAAGACTTTTCTTCTTTAGTTACTAATTTGATTCCTAAAGTATTAGGTACATATAAAATAACCTTTTTGTGTAGATCAAAACGTTGAATTAAATGCAATATGGAACAGAATAAGATTAGATTGCATTCCGGAACAGAAAAAAGACATTAATGAAAAAACTGAGTAAATCCAAATGAAGTAGTTCAGCTAATAATAATGTGCCAATGTGAATATCTTAGTTTTTCTACATGTATCTGGGTTATTTCTAATGTGTCCCCTAAACTTTGATGTGTCCCCTAAAGTTCATGTGTTGGAAACATCATCCCCAGTGCAATGATGTTAGGAGATGAGTGATTAGGTCATGAGGGCTCTGACATCATGAATAGATTAATTTCATTGCATGGAAGTGGGTCTGTTTGGTGAGAGTGGGTTTGCTAGAAAAGTGAGTTCAGGCCAGGCATGGTGTTTCACACCTATAATCCCAGCATTTTGGGAGTCTGAGGCGGGAGGATTGCTTGGGGCCAGGAGTTCCAGATCAGCCTGGATGACATAGTGAGACCCTGTCTCTACAAAGAACAACAACAAAAAAATTAGCCAGGTATGGTGTGGCGTGGTGGCTCATGCCTGTAATCCCAGCACTTTGGGAGGCCAAGGCAGGCAGATTACAAGGTCAGGAGATCAAGACCATCCCGGCTAACACGGCGAAACCCAGTCTCTACTGAAAATACAAAAAATTAGCCGGGTGTGGTGGTTGGGTGCCTGTAGTCTCAGCTACTTGGGAGGCTGAGGCAGGAGAATGGTGTGAACCCGGGAGGCAGAGCTTGCAGTGAGCAGAGATTGTACCACTGCACTTCAACCTGGGCGACAGAGTGAGACTCCATCTCAAAAAACACAAAAACAAAAGCAAACAAACAAAAATTAGGCAGGTACACACCTACAGTCCTAGCTACTTGGGAGGCTGAGGTGGGAGGATTGCAAGAGCTCAGGAGTTTGAAGCTGCAGTGAGGCATAATTGAACCACCATACTCCAGCCTGGGCAACAGAGAAAAACCCTGCCTCAAAACAAACAACAACAACAACAAAACTGAGTTCAGACCCCTCCTGCTCTTGCACTCTGACTCTCATGCTCTCTTGCCCTTCTACCTTCAGCCATGTGATGACACTGCATGAAAGCCCTCACCAGACGCTGGCCCCATGTCTTAGACTTTCCATCCTTCACAACCATTAACAAAATAGACTTATATTGTTTATCAATTATCCAGCTTCATGTGTTCTTTTATAGCAATACAAAATGAACTAAGACCATTGTATAACATGCTAACATTAGGGGAAATGAGGTAAAAGATGTATAGGAATTCTCTCTATAATTTTGGCAAATTTTCTATGAATTCCAAACATCTAAAATTATTCCAAAATTAAAAGTTTATTTTAAAAATGTTTGTATATTGGTGATTTTACATGGCTTAACCTAATAGGTAAAACCCGGATATTTAAATATAAAGCTGCCTGATGCAACATTTCAATGATACAGTAGTAGGATTTATGTTTGAAATTTAAGTATGTTTTAATTATAGATGTTTTTAGATAATTGATAGGCTTTTGTGCCTTGGCAGCCCAGCTCCCGGACCCCTAGCCAGTTATATGTACAAGTAAGAACTAACTGAACTTCCAAAGACAAAGGACGCTGTAGTCATTACTGAGGGACAGCTTGGGCTGAGACTAACTAATGGAACTTCTTTCACTTCTTTGACTAGGCAAGGATAAGTTGGGGACTCTGTGCTGATGGAATGACTGATTCCTTCTGTTCTTGGGAGTCAGTGGACACCCAACACAGCCTCATTCAAGGAGAACTGGTCACTTGCAACTCGTTTCTTCAGCAGAGGATCCTTCCTTCCTTCCCCACTGGGTCATGTAAGAACAGAAGGATTGTACCATATCAGTTTTGGGAGATTCCACATTCTCATTTGGAGGAAAAAGAATCTGCTTCCAGTTTTACCCCTGGAACTAGAAAATTAATCTTTAATCAGACCAATACCATTTAAGAGACTTGTTTTGTTTGGCTGACAAGTATTTGAGATTTTGAAGAATTATTTGCCACCCTTCTAAATTGGGAAGTTTCACAAAAATACCTGGATATATGACTTCTCTTAAACAATCAGAAGTTCCAGCAACAGTTCTAAGTATATTCCATCATAGAAAAGATTGATTAGAGCTGAACAGCTGTTGTGCCCTTTCAAAGGGTCATATGCTCTGTGTTTGCTCATAGTCTCCACACAGCCCTCTCCACTCACTCATCCAGCCACTTTCAACATTTGAGTTTACAACCCCTAGTCTAGATCAGTGTTTTTCACACTACAGGTCATCCCACTGTGGGAGTCATTAAATCAGTGTCTTGGATAACCAGTATGATATGGTTTGGCTCTGTGTCCCCACCCAAATCTCATCTTATAGTTCCCATAATTCCCACGTGTTGTGAAAGGGACAGAATGATATGGTTTGGCTGTGTCCCTAACCAAATCTCATCTTGTAGTTCCCATAATTCCCATATATTGTAGGAGAGACCTGGTGGGAGATGGTTGAATCATGGGGGTGGGTCTTTCCCATGCTGTTCTAGTGATAGTGAACGGGTCTCATGAGAGCTGATGACTTTTAAAATGGGAGTTTCTCCTCACAAGCCCTCTTTTTGCCTGCTGCCATCCACGTAAGATATGACTTGCTCCTCCTTGCTGTCTACCATGATTGTGAGGCCTCCCCAGCCACATGAAACTGTGAGCTCTCCATTAAACCTCTATCGTTTGTAAATTGCCCAGTCTCAGGTATGTCTTTATCAGCAGCATGAAAACAAACTAATACAGTAAATTGGTACCACTAGAGTCGGGCACTGCTGAAAAGATACCCCAAAATGTGGAAGCAACTTTGAAAGGTAACAGGCAGAGGTTGGAACAGTTTGGAGGGCTCAGAAGAAGATGGGAAAAGGCAGGAAAGTTTGGAACTCCCTAGAGGCTTGTTGAATGACTTTGACCAAAATGCTGATAATAATATAGACAATGAAATCCAAGCTGAGGTGGTCTCAGGTGGAGATGAAGAGCTTGTCGGGAACTGGAGCAAAGGTGACTCTTGCTATGTTTTAGCAAAGAGACTGGCAGCATTTCATCCCTGCCGAAGAGATTTGTGGAACTTTGAAATTGAGAGAGATGATTTAGGGTACATGGCAGAAGAAATTTCTAAGCAGCAAAGCATTCAATAGGTGACTTGGGTGCCATTAAAGGCATTCAGTTTTATAAGGGAAGCAGAGTGTAAAAGTAGAAAAGAAAATCCCATTTTCCGAGGAGAAATTCAAGCCGGCTGCAGAAATTTGCGTAAGTAATGAGGAGCCAAATGTTAATCCAGGAGACAATGGGGAAATGTGTCCTCACCCAATCTCATGTTGAAATGTAATCCCAGGTGCTGGAGGTAGAGTCTGTGGGAGGTGATTGGATCATGGGAGCAGAGTTCTCATGAATGGTTTAGCACCATCCCCTCTTGGTACCGTATAGTGAGTGAGTTCTCATGAGACCTGGTTGTTTGAAAGTATGTAGCACCTTCCCCCTTGTTCTCTTCCTCCTGCTCCCAGTCATGTGAAGTGCTGGCTCCTGCTTTGCCTTCCGCCATGATTGTTTCCTGAGGCCTCCCCGGAAGCAGAGGACGTGCTGCCAGGCTTTCTGTACAGCCTGCAAAACTGTGAGTCAATTACACCCCTTTATAAATTACCCTGTCTCAGGTATTTCTTTATGGAAGTGCAAGAAGAGACTAACACTAGAAATAATAAAAGTAATGAAAATAGTAGCAAGAATAGCAGACACTTAATAAGTGCTTACTATGTACCCGACACTGTGATAAGCCCTTTGTATACCTTATTCCACTTATTCTTCACTATAATCCTATGAGATAAGAGAGATATTATCCTATATGAGGAAATTCTTGTTTGTAAAGTAAGTAACTTACAAGATCACTCAGGTAGTGACTGAATGAGCCAGAATATGAATTCCATTCTGTCTGGCTATAAGTCCCTTATGGTAACCACTATGGTGTTCCTACAGGGTGCAAATCAGTTAGTTTTTCCATCAATCCATTGTTTCCTTGATAAAAACATGTCCAAGATGAATTACTAGTGGCTGTGCTAGGACTAGGGCCTGGGTCCTGTGATTCTGATGTGGGTACTCCTCACTGTCACACTCTTATTATAAATTCATCATTAATGCTGTTTCGGCCACATTTGCGGAAGCATGTGCTGGTGGGCTTCATTGGAACCTAGGCATTTTTTACTCTGGGGGGGGTCCTTCCTCCATAATATCAAAAATTCTATCTTCCTTTGTTGATATAAAGGCAAATATTCTGATCTTCTATATTAAACCCTTTTATTCTACCCCAAAGTTCAATTTTTTCTTTTGGTTTTGGAAGAAATTGAAACATTTTCATGGGCTCTGTGAAATAATCCCCCCTCCACCAAAGATAACCACATCTTAATCCCCATGAACATGGTAACTTCTATGGTCAAAGGGACTTGGCAGATGTGATTCTATTAAGAATCTTGACCTGAGAGAGTTGTCTTGTATTATTCCAGTGGGCCCAGTAGAATCACAAGGGTCCTCAAGGAGAGTCAGAGAAGGAGATATGATGGCAGAAGCCAGAGTCAGAGTGTGGCCTGAGCAAGACTCCATTAACAATTGCTCACTCTGAAGACGGAAAGAGCCACGAGCCAAGGACTTCAGGCAGCACAGTGCCTGGCATCATCAATCGGTAAGGAAAGAAAGAAAGTAATCAGGGGAATTCTCTTCACATTTCCAAGGAAATGCAGGATTAAAAGTGGCCATGAAAGAGACTTAAATTCAAAATTGAGCAGCCCCATGTATTGTCAGGGTTCTCTAGAGGGACAGAACTGATAGGATAGATGTATACATGAAGGGGAACTTATTAAGGAGAATTGACTCACACGATCACAAGGTAAAGTCCCAAGACAGGTCTTCTGCAAACTGAGGAGCAAGGAAGCCAGTGGTAGATCCGTTCAAGTCTCAAAACTTCAAAAGTAGGGAAGCTGATAGCGCACCTTTCAGCCTGTGGCCAAAGGCCCAGGAGCCCCTGGCAAGCCACTGGTGTACATCCAATAGTCCAAAAGATGAAGAACTTGGAGTCTGATGTTCAAGGGCAGGAAGTATCCAGGGCATGAGAAAGATGAAGCCCAGAAGACTCAGAAAGTCTGCTTTTCCATCTTCTGCCTGCTTTATTCCAGCCACATTGGCAGCTGATTAGCTGGTGCCCACCCAGATTGAGCGTGGATCTGCCTCTCCCAGTCCACTGACTTTGGCAACACTCACAGATACACCCAGGAACGATACTTTGCATCCTTTAATCCAATCACATCGACATTCAATATTAACCATCACTCCCCATCGCTGTCTAGGACCCCATTCCCCTCCCTGCCCCAAATACCTAGTAACAAGAAATTTTCAGTTGAAACCATTTGCTTTCCCTAGGCTTCGGGATTCTGCTCTGCAGAAGCTACATTTGAAAGAGGATGAGCAGCATCTGGAGAAGGTGCCCTGAACGAGAAGAGAAATGGGAACTCAGAGTAGAGAAAAACTGAAAAGGAGTAACAAAAATGAGCCTGGAAATACCATGAAAGGGGGGAATTTTTATTTATTTATTTTATTTATTTATTTTGAGACGGAGTTTCACTCTTGTTGCCCAGGCTGGAGTGTAATGGCACAATCTCCGCCTCCCCGGTTCAAGCAATTTTCCTGCCTCATCCTCCCAAGTAGCTGGGATTACAGGCATGCACCACCATGCCCAGCTAATTTTGTCTTTTTAGTAGAGACAGCGTTTCTCCATGTTAGTCAGGCGGTCTTGAACTCCCGACCTCAGGTGATCCACCCACCTCGGCCTCCCAAAGTGCTGGGATTAGAGGCATGAGCCAATGCACCAGACCAAAGCGGGGAATTTTTCAAAAGAGAGAAATTACAAAAGTGAAAAGAGACATTGACAGAAGAGAAGTTGGAAGTAAGTAAGCAATTTGCGATTTTGAAGGGACCCAGGAAGAAAGGCAGGCCAAGTAGAGAAACAAAAAGCAAAACCAACGGTGGGCCTAAAAGTAAACTTCCTTTCTCTTTGTAACTGACATTGGGTGCAGAGCTGAACTCTACAGTCCAGAGGCCATCTAAGGCCATTAATCCAAGCCCTGCACTGCTGCCATGGCCAGTGGGAGTGACACGCACGGGACAATGGCAGAATGCAGCCTGAGAAATGAGGGGTTCCTGTCTCAGCAAGGGCTGCATTTTCTCTGCTCTTTTTTCACAAAGCTGCTACTCACATCGAAGTGGCTCCCGGTGACCCATGATGCTCACAGCCTAAACTCAGAGCCCTCCCTCCCATCTCAGTCTCAGGCCTTTTTTGCAGTTGTTTCAACCGCTTATCTTTAAGGACTAGGTCTTATGCCCAAATTTGTAGATAATTTCTATGTTTATTAGAGTGTGCATCATTTTCTGGTTTCATGCGTATAGCCAGTTGGCTCCAGTTGACATTTTCACCTCTTAATATCGCATACTAAAGCACTTGAAAAAGAAAAAAAAGGAGAAATTATTTTTTAAAATGTATATGCACACAAACATATATATGTAAACACTGAATATTAATATATTGAATATAAAGATATTAGTAGGCATACTTACATACACACATGCATACCTGTATACGCACATAAGGCTTCTGTATTCAAATTTCTAGGAAATAATAACAAAGCATTGGAGGGTGCTTTTTAATAAGTCCAGATTCCCTCTTTCATTTCCATTTTTATTTTTTTAAAGAGTACATCTCACAAAAGATGCATTTCTGAGCTCTCTAACTGATTAACAAGGACCGCTCTTAGGTGAACCCTTCTCTCAGTTTTTACTTTCAGTTGACTTTTGCATATATAGTCACTTTTTTTCTGCAGGCTTTATCCAAAGAATTTTTTCAAAACAATTTTTCCCCATGCAGTTTCATTGTTCTAACCCCAAATTGTGTTTAGTACATTGATATGCTCAGGGGATAGGTTTTTTGGCTTACACGGTTTTCTCTTCCTGGGCTGACACTGGGTGGTCTCTCAGCCATGTCTGGTTTTTAGGTATCACCAACAGCTCTGTTTTACGTTTTTCACACAGTTTCCTTTTCCATCCTAGTTTAGGGATGGAGATATTCTTCCTAGCTGTTTCTTTTTCAGTGGTTTGTTATTTTTCATGGGGGAGGGCATTTAAACGCTGTCACCCAGGATATCAAATCTGTGCATAGATGAGCAGACAAGATGGTGAGTGATGTGACTTCTTCAATCTTATTTTAAAAATTAATTTCTATTTTTCCCTGCCCTGAAGTTGGAAGACAGAAGTGTTGACATGCTTTAATCTTTACTTAGACAATTTATTTAACAAGTACTTACACTGTGCTTATCATGTATCAGGTACTAGTGCTCAGTGATTTCCAAATTTTGACTGAATCAACAGAGCAACCCTCTGAGGATGGTGCTAGAACTCTTCATATTTTGTAGATGAGGAAATGGTGGCATAGAGAGGTAAGTAACTAGCACAAAGCCACACATCTGGTAGGTGGAGCTGGGGGGTGGGGGCAAGGATTCAAATCTAGACAATCAGGTTCGTATCCAAGCTATTAATCAATACATTAGAAAAAATAACGGGGCACTGATTTCCCACCTTAAGACTTCCTTAATGGGTCAATTCCATCTTGCCAGGATCGACACTGATTTTGTTTCTGTTCACATCAGATTCAGATTGCTTTTTTTTTTTTTCAAAGTATTATATTAGCAGTACTTCAACTCATAGGAAATAAGTCTTATTAACCTGCCTAGGTATTTTATTTGGATCTTTCCCTGTTTTAGGCAGTCAGATGGGCTGAGTTCATGGTTCTGGGAAGTCTGATGGCATCTGCACCTCTTTTCACCAAGTTATTCCCATCACCTCCCTCTGGTAGCATTTCAAGAGTTTTTTCGTCAACATGTAAGGGTTGATTTATGTTTTGAGAGCCACACCTTTTTCAACAAAACACACACAGATGCCATACAGAAATAGAAAATGACCTTTACCCATGAAAAGAATTTTGATGAATTGCAGGAAGTAATATACTGTGCAAGGAAAATAGTCTTTTGATCTTTTTTTTTTTTAATGTAAATCACTTCCCATGAAGAACACTCTGAGTCTAATGAGGTTCTTTAAGTGGAGAGTACAAAGACCACCAGAGTATTAGAGAAGAATTCCACTGTGTTGGTGTCTGATCTACTCCTACTAATGGAATGTATATACTGGGGAGGGAGGAGGAAGTTGGGGGCTGTTAGAGGGAATGACCAAATGCATTTGAAGTATTCCGTCAATATTTCTTGGTTATTGAACATGGGGGCTGGACTCTCTATAGCAGTGTTTTCAAACTATGAACTGGGACTCATTAGTGGACTCTGAGACCATTGTTAAAAGAAATAGGAAAATTTAAAATACAGAAGTGAATAATAAACATCAGAGTGTATGACACAGCATAAGGATAGAGTGTTTTGTGAAATTTTTCTAAAGACATGTGTACACAGAATGTCCATACTAAGTTGCAATGTAAAATGTTCTTCTTAGTGTGTATCATGTTCAAAAAAAGCTTTAAAATCACTACTAAATAGAACCAACCACAGGCATTCTTTCTGCCTTCTGAGAACTTAAACTATAAGGCAAAAATGGCAATTCTTAAGGTTTTTTAAATGTTAGGGAAATTTTATCCAGGTGATTTGAAGAGTAGGAGTGAGGAGGTTGTCTCAGGAGTGCCAGGAGGGGGCTATTGCAATAGGAACAAATGACTCTACACTTTTTGTTAATGAAGGTGAATTTTTGAGATAAAGTCAAAAAATCCTAAAGGCAAAAGTCAGAGTCTGGTAGATATGAAGCGGTGGTGGTTCCAACTTCATGGGCTGGGAGGAGAGGCCCAGGCATTTTAAATGATCCATTCAAAGTATGCCTTTGCCCACTACAATTTGGGAACCACTGACACAGGGCTTTTTTTTTTTAACAGATTGATTCCTACCATGTGTGCAAATGTGAATGTCTTCTGTTTTATTCAGTACAACATAACATTGATCCTAATTCTTCTTCTTCTTCTTCTTCTTCTTCTTCTTCTTCTTCTTCTTCTTCTTCTTCTTCTTCTTCTTCTTCTTCTCCTTCTCCTTCTCCTTCTCCTTCTCCTTCTTCTTCTTCCTCTTCTTCTTCTTTTTTTAGTAAAGAGATAGAGCCTCACTAGGTTCAATCGATCCTCCTGCCTTGGTCTTCCAAAGTCCTGGGATTACAGGCATGCACCACTGTGCTTGGCCACATTGATTACAATTGATGCTTTCAGATAAAGGTTTATTTTACAGTTATCATGATATAGCTCCAGTAAGAAGGACATAAGATTTTTATACTTCTCAAAAGGGAAGGCTGATCCAGTGGAAGCCCTCCATCCACCTGAGTAAACAGAAACTCATAGAGGCTAAAAGAGTTGTCTAGGGTCACACATCTGAGGCAAGAAGGCAGCTGTCCCCACCCCTGTCCTGGGCCCTTTCTGCCATGGATCTTCTCCTGTAACACACTGAGGCATGAAGCGTTTGGTCTTGACTGCAGGAGGGACTGATAGAGTTGTACACAGGGACTTTGGTTCTCTGTTTGTGAGTCTATTCCCAGCTCTTAGGGACATTTTTACTTCTTTTGTCAGATGGGACACAGCCACACTTTCTAGGGGACTCTAGCACAAGTTTCAAGAGGTAGCTAGCCAGGAAAGTACTGACTACCCCCAGGCCTGGGGTCCTGCCAGCTGTCTCCCGTGCTTGTCTGACCCTATTACGGGTGCTGAATCCTTTGAAGCCAAACTGACTTTTTAAACGCTGACTTCCCGAAGTGAGGAATAATTATTTTCATATGTGAACCTGGAGAAATGTAGATAATGATGGCAATGAACAAATGCAGGTTAAAAAACAAAATTTTCTCACTGCCAAAAGAATTCTTTCAGGATTCTCTCATATTTTCCATGCATTCACACAGCAAAAGAACTTAAGGCAAGGCAAGTTAACTAAGCTAGAAGAAACAACACTTAAGATTTACTAAAATACAATGTCGATCCCAAATCTGGTAATATGCAATACCTAAGAGTACTGAGCTTTCCTCTCAGGCCTCCTGGAATCTACGTTATGACCTTATAAGTTAAAGACGTGTGTGTGTGTGTGTGTGTGTGTGTGTGTGTGTGTATTATCTTTTACTGGGCTCAGAGATGTCTATTTAATGATTGTACCTACACAAATGATACAGATATCTGTACTTATCTGATTAATTTAGAATTGTCCAGCAATTTGAGACAAATGTTTCTCTAAGATCTGATTTGCCTCAACTGACTTTGGTCAAATAAACACAATCACTATCAGTTCTCCCTTGTATAATGTGACATATGGACAGAGCTAGAAGTTATCCTATCCACATATATCCGAACAGGATATTATCTGGAAAGTTATTTGTTGCTTCAGTTTAGATTTGCTCCACTTGGTTTTGTTCTGCTCACCCTATGGGGTACCCATAGTTGTAGACTGTAAGTAATAAGATTTATTTTTCTATAGCTTTTCCCTGTAGTGAAGGACTCTAACTGAAATCCACTTTTCTTCCATCCTAATAACTTTATATGTCACTCCTTACTTTGCAACACACACACTCACACACACACACGTACTAAGTTCAAGATACTTCAGTGAGTCTGTGGTTGAAACAGGTTTCGATTCCCAAGATTTATTCATAGAGCTTTTCAGGCAACTTATTATAATATCTATAGTAGTTGCAAGAAATGCCTCAAGGAGGAGACAGGTCACATAAAGGAGTAGAGAAAGCAGGAGGAGAAAGCAATGAATAGCGGGGCCACAGGGTCTGACAGCAAAGTTGTCCGATTGAACTCTCTGTGATGATGGGCTTGGTCTAGACCTGTGCATCCAGTGTGGTAGACACTAATTACATGTAACTATTGAATGCTTGAAGTGTGGCTACTGTAACAGAGGAACTGGATTTTAAATTTAATTTTAATTTAAAGAGCCAGCTGTGCTACTGGCTCTCCCATGGGATAGCTTGGGAGAGAAGTTGTGCTCTTTGGCTCCAGCCTACTGTTGCCATGTATGAGTGCTGGCTCAGAGGTGCCAGGTCTTCTGATTTTTCTAGAGAAATTGGAAATCCCAATTTTTATGGGAACTTCATAATTTTTTAAATATCAGACCAGTAAAATCTGACATGACCGTGGTTCAGTTTTGGTTGACAGGCATCGCTAATCAGTGTAGGTCCATTCTCCTCACCTCATCGCCTCTTGTTTCCTGTTCCTTATCCCCTACCAGGAGAACATTTTCTCCATCTATCTTCATCGGCCATTTGCAACTTGGCCCCTTGGCTGCTGCTCCTCCGCTGTCACACACCACACTCTATTGTCAACATTGCTGACTCGTTTCCTGCCCTCTCATCATCCTTCCCACCTCCGCTATCCCAGGGAAGCAATTCCAGTTTCTCCAACTGTGTTCCCAGAATCAAGCACAGTACCCAGTGAAGGGTGAGGAAAGGCCACATGAGAACAACGTGGAGGCAAAAGGGCAGGGAGAAGGCAGAGTGGGGGTGGGGAGGACTCTTGCCCCTTGGCTAATTCCTCCTCTTCCTTCAGACTCAAAGAATGCTTTCTCAGAGAGCTCTTCCTTGTCCCTGAACTAAATTTTTGCACTTTTATTATTCTCCCAGAAAATCTTACTTTTTTTCTATCATAACACATAACAATTGGTAATTACAAGTTTATTGGGTTCCCGTCTTGCTTATTGTCTGTTTCTCCAACTGAATTATAAACTTCAAGGGGGCAGGAGTCTGTTCTGTGCTCCATTCAAAAGCCCAAACAATGCTTGTAGGCGCTCAGTACATATTTATTAAACAAATGAATGAATGGTGATGTAAGCCTAGTAATTCCTATGGGCTGTGATTGTACATCTCTGCTCTAAGCAGAAGTTTTGATCACACCACTCACCCTTTCCCCCATCTCCTACCGGAGTGTTCCTACCGCTGTCAGGGAACTACCATGCCAGGTCAGAGTGACAGCTCTGATTGGTATTCCTGGGGACACCTGCCAACTGATATAAAAATAAAGTGTTTACTGGTTGACATAGGGTCTGAAAAAATGAGACCATAACCCCATATAGATGGAGATGGTTTTATCTCAATAATTCATTTTTTAATGAATTAATAATAATAATAGCCCTCATTTTTTGAGCCAAGTACGTGATGTTACCCTGTCTTTATGGAGCATGTACCATGTGCCCAACATTTAAAATTACTTCATGTATTATTTCATGTAAGCTTTGCAAAAACCCAAAGAGCGATAGTTGTCACGTGACGGCTAAAACTGAGCTCAGATAAGTTGCATCTTTTGCTCAAGGTCACACAAATGGTAAGTGGTCATGCAAGATCAAGGCTCTCTGTCAGCCCTCAAAACCCACGGATACATTTCCTGCCATCCATTCTCAAATCTGCCCTGAGGAGGAGGAAG